AAACGCAATCGGTTCGTTTTTTAGTTGAATGTGTGATTGATGAGACAATCGATCAAGTCCTTCAGAGGCAAGAACATAATTAGTAAGCATTATACAGTCGATGGTAAAATTGCGAATGGGAGTGATGTTTTGTTAAAAACTAGTAAGAATTGAACATATTTATGTAAGTTGTGATAGTTGACAGCACGGAATTCTGAACCAATACAAATATATGAGTGGAAAATTCTGTAGGCGTGGGAAGAGATGATATCTATCGACTGTTCCTTAAAGCGAAGTAGAGTATGGACTTTAAGATAAATCGTAAACCCAATAGAAAAAGGACATTAACAGTCAAGAGCGTATTATCAGGTATTATGTAAAGGACACTAGGTAGAAGATAAGGTTACCTTTTTGTCTTGCCTTGCGTACGGGAAACACGGGATGACGGCAGTAACCCGACAAGAAGATGCAATCTTGCACGCATTGATCATGATGAGGAGTTCCATGAGATTGTCGTTGACTTCTCCACTTCCGGTTTGAATGATGTATACATCCTCTCCCCGAACAGACTCGATAACTTCGACACTTAAAGGGTCGCAATGACTGAATGTACACTTACCAGGTCTCCTGGTTACTAAACTTTTTGGAATTAGCCATCCCCAACTTTATACCGATGTGATCCGTTATTCTCTTTGCCAGATCATAATTTGAACTCCCGGAAAACACTTTGATATTTGGCATGATTGGCGACACTGAGCCAATTGGGGGGAGGCGTGCGGAGCACAGGATTAGCCACCTGAGGTACAGGCACTTACCACCTAAGACCAATAGTCATTACAACCGAAAAACTAAAACAGTCAAGCAGTGAAGAATAAAAGAAACGGAGACAGAATTCAATGAACGAAATGGCAATAGAGGCTTCCTAAAAGCATCCTAGGGGAATGAGGGTCCCCAATTGCCAGTACTTGTATTTACTTTTCAATCTATTATGGAACAACTTGACCAGACCGCAAACATCATCGTCCGGTCAGACTTATTTGCATATCACTTCAAAAATGGTTGCATCATCGTCCGGTCAACCTTATTTGCATGTCACTTAAAAATAGTTGCATCATAAATATAAATCTAGCATAGTATCTGCTCACAAAAAATCAATATTTTAGCACCTTAAAGGCACTACAAGGTGCAACAATGACTACTAATGTAAGCAGCGTTTCGTGTCCACCAGAAAATTGGCCTTTAATAACCCTTTCAAAAAGATTGTAAGCGAAATAATGTTTCGCTAAAAGATATGGGGAAAAAGAGTAGGCTTATACTATAATGGCAGTTCGGAAGTTGATAATGAAAAGTCAATATTGTTCTCTCAGAATCGCTAGTACCCATGGCAGCCCATGGAAAAGCCTCCACGCATATGAGGCCTCGACAACTCAGGAGCCAGAATGAAATTCTGAGTATAATTTACAGCCAACGAAGCAGAAGCGATTATACTGAGCAAGTCCATATGAGTTCCCTCATTTGAATGAGTGGCGGTTTATGGAGACATCGTAATTCCTGCGGGAACGATGCAGGGAATAGTAATTTCAAGATGGTCTTCTAAATTACCAGTGGCCCTTTCTCGGATTCGTG